CAGTACTTTTTAATGTATAAAAGCATTAAGAAACAAAGAAAAGAAAAGGCTTTGCATCTAGAAATCAAGGGGTACAACAGTGAAGGCAGGTCAGGGAGCTCCCAGGATGAAGCAGAAGGGCAGTGTACCACAACAGTTGTTGGGAGAACCTGTTCTAAAGAATCAGAACAGAGGCCACTGCAGAAGGAATGATAACAAAACCAAGTTCTTGGGTTAACACATCTCAGTGCAGTGAGGACAGTCTTAGAGTACATTAATGATAAGATCAAAAAAGCAAGTGTCTTTTTATACTTATCTAAAAAAAAAAAAAAAAAAAAGCTATAGAAGAAAGAAATATGGAGGGCTGGTTAGTTAGCTCAATGAACTAAGCACCTGCTTTGGCAAATGCAGAGATGAGGGTTTGATCCCTGGTCCCAAATGCCATGCTGGCTCTGCCCCCAGGATGTGCTGAACCGCAACCAAGTCCAGGTGTGGTAGCACAGGCCTGTAATCCCAGAGCTGGGGAGGCTAAAAACAGGAGGATTACTTCAAGTCTGCATAGTGAGACCCTACACCAAATACATAAATGAAAGAAAGAAAGAAAGAAAGAAAGAAAGAAAGAAAGAAAGAAAGAAAGAAATTTCAAGGCTCAGATACAACTGTTTCTATCACGATATATGTATACATTCAGGTATCCTAAAACGAATAAAAGCTACATAGGAAAGATAGGCAGAGAAAAAGTATATGGATGGTATTAAAAGGATCAAACCTTCACAATCCAGAGTTAAAAGCCAACAGACAAGGTTTAGAATTGAGAATTTAATATTATATTTGCTGCCAAAGTGAACACAGAATTGAGAATTTAAGCCAATAGCCATCTAAAAATAGAATTTAAAATGAAATAAGCAAAAAACTGAAATAAATAGCTTTTTAAAAATACATCTTGGACATAAAATATACATGAGAATATGGCACAGAATCTATTTTTACTATAATGACTTAGAGACTAATCTTTAAACCACAGACATTATTTTATATAATATGGGTATAATTTCAATTTTAAAAGAATTATCTAATTAACATATTCTCATTGGTTATTTCTTACCACATAATAAAAGTAAGAATTTCTGAAACAAAAATATTTACTTTCACAGAAAAAGAGGGTTTAGACTTATACACGAATTTAATAAAAACTAATTTGCTTTTAAAAAAAGTTTTCTACCTAAGCTTTTTTATGAGAAATTTTAAAAATTTAAATAAACTATAAATTAAATTATATGATTAAAACTGAAGCATGTCAAGTTCAGTTTTAGATCTTGTCCCTGTCAAAAAAAAGCATTTCATCTAAAATATCAAACCAACCATCAGTCTGAGCTAATGCCTAGGGCTGCCAAACTGTGGTCAGCCTAACATTAACCCAGCCTGTACCTAGCAGAAACCAGCTAAAATGGGAAGAAATAGAAGAATATATTTAATTCATATGAAAAATCACATGAAGTTGAAATCTCAGTGTCTATAAATAAAGTTTTATTGGAAAACAGCTTTGTTCATAGCTCCCTAACCCTTACTGATGCTGAGGATTAAACCCAGGGCCTGTGGGCTCTAGCACCAATCCTCTTCTCTTTATTTGATTGATTGATTGATTGATTGATTGATTGATTGATTGACTGAGACAGGGCTTCACCATGTTACCAAAGCTGGGCTTGAACTTTCCATTCTCCTTCCTCAGCCTCCCAGAGTGCTGAGCTTACAGGCAGTGGCTGCATTGTTTCTGCTGATGGCTGAGTGGAACAATCTGACAACAGATTGTGCAGCCTGCACAACCTAAAATATTTACTGCTTAGCCTACAAAACTGAAGATGTTCCTTATGGGCTCCTTTCAAAAGATGTTTATTGGCCAGTGGATTAAAGGATTAGGATTCTGAATTTCATTTGAATTTTACTTCAAATGACTAATCCAAACTCATATATAAAAATGTGACTACAAAAGCACATGAGTCAAAGGTTGCTTGAATAAGCAGGCTCAGGGAGGCAGTCTATACAACTCTTAAAAGAGCAGAAAGCCCAGAGGATCTGACAGTTTGCTGAGGGTCACTGGCATGACTGGGAATAGAATCAATGCTAGAGTCTCCGAACATGGTTCTTCCCTTATATAAACATCCAGCACCAAATTTTTACCCTAGTATATTACTGTCCCTCTAACAGTCTTCAAATTACCATTATTATATCAGTTTTTTTTTCATTTTAGTTCATGTTTTTATATAAAATGCTGTTAACTTGACATTCTCCAAATATGTTAAGCAGATTTCTGTTGATATTCACTTACAATAGTGTCACTGTGGGAGTACAGAATACTGGCTGATGACAGGACCTCTGGGGACTACAAAATCCTGCCTCGAACTCTGTCCCCGGGCATCCTTTTGGCCTTGCAATCCCCTGTATATCTCTAAACTTCACTCTCATCTCTTTAAAGTGAGCATAGGGCTGGGGAGATGGCTCAGTAGAATAAGCACTTGCCTGGCAAGCACAAGGGGCTGAGTTCAATCCCCGGTTCCGCCAAAAAAATTTTTTAAATTAAAAAAAAAAAGTTTAAAAAAATAAAGTGAGCATCTTACTTACTTCCTACAAATGTGGTTAGGCTAAATAAGATGAAGATTGTCAAGTAACGACTGCTATAGATTTAAGAGCTCAAGAAATATCATTTATATTTTGTTTCATGTTTAAATATTTCATATTATTCCGTTTCCTTGAAAAGCTTCAGAAGCAGCTTTCTCAAACTACACTGGATGTAAGAATCACACTACCACCCTGTCTCAGACTCTCTTAGTCGTACACTCAGATACTTCAATTTTTTCACCTGTAAGGGGCACAAATCTGTACTTTCAAGTCCATGGGCAAACTTAGACATGGGAAGACCACAGAACAGACACCACTCCTAGATGATGAAACGCGCCAAGAGGTTAGGAGATAACCCAAAGCCTACAAATCACCATTAAAGCCATCTCCTGTGCCAACATGGTAAGGACAGGAGTACTACGCATTCCTTTTACTGCTCTTCCTTTCACAACTGTAGTTCTTCCTTTCTACTGAAATGTCTGTTGGACTCCATAAACTAACTAATCTAACATATAACACAGGGGTCGGGGAGATGGCTCAGTGGAATAAGCGCTTCCCTGGCAAGTGCAAGGGCCTCAGTTCAATCCCCGGTTCTGCCAATAACATATAACACAATGATTACTTCCTAGTTTATGCATGTTGGGACTTCCAGTTACGTACTCAATGAAGGAGCTCAACAAGGTCAATACTCAGAGTACTAACTTTAGAACACTGAAGATGCACCCATTTTACTTAATGACATAATTGCAAAAAGAAAGAACAAAAAGATGGGTTCCTAGGTTACAATACAAACTAAAACAAGCTAACAATTGGGATTAAAAACTGGTACAAAGCTCAACACAGTCAATATTGGCAAACCCTGATGTGTGTATATGTGAAAGGAACTGCATGAGACACCTGTGCTTCAGCGTCAGGTTTTTCTACCCCAAGTGTTTATTCCAAGATCAGCAACACACGCAGAGCTGAGAGCGGCAAAAGTTGGAGAATGCAAATGCACAGGGTTACAATACCTTGCTCCAGTCTAAAGCACAGGGAACGTCTGGCTGCTTCCATCTCAGGAGTCGGGTTATCTAGGACGTGTCTACACCACTGCAAAGGACTCAGGGGCTTCTCTGATGAGGTGAATGTCTTTGAAGAGCCAATGTATAACCTTAAAAAAAGAAACCTACATTATATGTGTGATATGAGTATATCGAGAAAGCTTCTTTTCTGAGAAAAACATGTATTTACCAGTTTCCATAGAAATAGAACACAAATTTGAATATCTCTAAGTACCCAAAGTCATTTTAAACAGGCAAATATGCCAAAATAGAATATAACACTTTTCTAAGTTTTAGTGAGAACTACTTCAAAACAAAATCTAAAGTTTCCCCTTTAATTGAGTTTAAAAGTCAGCATGGGCATGAGGATCTCATGACCTCCCTTCACATGTCTAGAAATGGAGCATCTTTATCTCTCCTCACTGCAGCAGAGTCTTGTGTGAATCTGGGCTAATGGAGGGCACATCACATGAGCAACAAAGCAAACAGGGGTATAAAAAAAAAAAAGCCAAAACACAAGTCAGTTCTTCATTAATTCTCTGAACCCTTAAGTACTATTTCTACCATCTCAAATCTACACTAAATTTAATAACAGCTTTTTCATAAAAGCCAAAGAAACAGCCTTAAGAGGTGTTTTCGGTCAAGATCACTTTCACCATTTATACCACTACATAGTAATGGGGAATATTAAAAACAAAACAAAACACCCAGAGGAACTACAAGTTCCACCCAAGGCAGGTTCTCTCTCACTGACCTACTGTAGTATGCTAAGGTTGACTTAAGAATATCTTCAGAGATAGAGTTAAATGCAAGCCATGAGGGCCAGCCAGCAGTTAGCCAAAACCAGGAGGAAAAATCACCTGCTCACAATTGCTGTCTCCAGTATTCAACCTTGCCACGTGTATGCTTACTCTAATTACTAAACTCCTTTGCAGTTGCCATAATTTGGATGAGCACATACTCTTGAAATAAATTTAACTATTTGAACTTTTACTATTCTAGACAGGACATCTACCCATGAGAGCAATTTATTATGTCTTAAATATATAACTAATTTCTCCATGATAATCTGGTCTTCTAGAATATTGGTACGAAAGTAAATTAGTTTTAATATCTTTTTTACAAATATCTCAGATTTTTTTATCCAGACAGTCCTGTCATGTGTGTATCAAAATGGCCAGGCAGATAGCTCAATAAAATAGGTGCTTGCCTGGCAAGCACAAGGTCCTGAGTTCAATCTCCGGTTCCACAAAAAAAAAAAAAAAAAAGGAGAGCTATCACTGACTGATTACTAATGAGGACAGTTTAATATGGCACACAGATAAAGAGATTTAAAAAAATAGATGCGTCAGAAATAGAACATGGAATACAGATTTCTGACATAATACAAAGAGCATTCAATGAAGAAAGGATAGTCTTTGAGACGAATGGTGCTGGAAGAAAATAGATATTCATATATAAAAAAGTGAGCTTTGAGCCTTGCTTCACAGTACCCAAAATTAACTCAAAGTGCTCAGAGGCAAACCTCAAGCTGTAAAACTTCTGTTGGAAACCACAGGTGAAAACCTTCACACAAAAACTTATTAAATATAATTTATAGGACTAAAACCATGATCCATAAGGAAATGATTATCAGACCAGGAAGACAGCTCAGCGAGTGCCTGCTTTAGGCAAGTGCAGGGAGTGGGTTTGATCCCCAGCACAACATACCTTGCTGGACCCACCCTCAGGTGCACTGAGCCAGCCACCAAGACTAGGTGTGGTGGCACATGCCTGTAATCCCAGCACTGGGGAGGTGGAAAATAGGAGGACTACTACAACTCCAAGCTGCACAGTAAGACCCTGTACTAAATACACTTAAAAAAATATATATCAGCTGGACTTTATAAAAAATTAAAAAATTACTTTTTGAAAAACACTGCTAAGAAAAAGACAAGCCATGAATTGGGAAAAATATTTGTAAATAATATCTGACAAATAATTTTTATGTAGAATTTATATAAAGACAACAAACTCAACAGCAAGCAATCTAATTTTAAAAAGGGCAAAAACAACTGAATAGTCATCTCACCAAAGAGCTAATGATAAGTAGGATACAAAATAATGATCATTAAGGAAATGCAAACTAAAATCATAACAAGATACTGCCACACACTTAATAGAATGGTTAAAATTTTTGAAAGGCTGACTAGCTACATACTGGTGGGCGTGTGGTACAACAGAAATCTCCTCTGCTAGTGAAAATTTAAAATGGTATAACCACTTTGGAAAGGAGTTTGGCAGCAACTTAAAAGGCTAGCATACACCTATTCATGTCTGTAAGTATATACCCAAGAGAAATGAGACCATGTACATATAAGGATCTATCTGCAAATGTTCCTAACAGTTTTGCTTATAATCACCAAAAGTGGAAAAGAGCCCAAATGTCCATCAAAAAATGAATGTCTTAACAAACCATAGCTCTATTCCCCCAATCTATTAGCTATCACTGTTAAAGGAAAAGAACAACTGATGAACTTCAGTGAACAACACAGATCACTCTCAAAAGCCAGAGCAAAACAAACAAATGAAAAAGAACACATCCTATAGAATTTCCCTGATACAGACTATGGAAAATGCAAACTAATCCACACTGACAAATAATAGACCAGTGTTTCCCTGGAGGTAGGCAGGATTAGGAAGGAAGAAACACAAAAGAGCCACAAGGAAACTTCATTGTTCATTTTCTTGACCAGTGTGATGATTTTATGGTTATATTCATGTCAAAGTATATCAAACAGGACAGCTTACATATGTGCAGTTTATATATCTGTAGCATTCAATAACATTTTTTTAAAGGTCACAGGGGACAGACGGCTTCTTATCCCTCAGGGTTTTTAAGATGAGACTCAGAGCTGCCATCTGCTATCCATGTGAAGAGAAATACAATGCCTCAGTCCCACAAAGACAAGTAGGGGGTCGCCAGGCTAAATGAGGGGCTTTCTTATCCCTGGGCCTTAGGTAGCCAATCTTCCTCACTGTTCATAATACGCAAATGCACATCTCTGAGCCTTTGCTTACTGTTCCCCAGATCCTCTGAGCTGCCCCCTGAAACTACAGCCTGACACATTGCTCTGCCTGTGACCCATGACATCCTGTGAGACCACAGTGCTATCTGCTGCTGGAAAGCTTCACCCACCAGCTCTCTAAGGATTTCAGATGCTCCCGCCCACTGTTTTTGACATTCATTTTGATTCTTGTTTGTGGGGATAACACTACAGGAAGACAACCTTCATCTCTTAGGACTTAAGTGACAGAGGTCTTTCCTTTGACCACACAGCCTCCAGCACACTTAAAAGCAGTGGCTACTCCCGACAGGTACCCTCAGTTGCTAAGAGACCACACATTCATTTAGGGCTACCTTTCTCTTTCATCTCTCCCTGCTCCCTGGTGCTATAGCTCACCTCATCCTGGATTTAATAGATCTGGAGATGATCTGAAATATGGGAATTCAGTTAAAAGTCTCACAAGGAACATGCAGACTCCTGGATCCCCTCCTACACCCCAGGAAACCTGTGGCACCAGCCCTTCTCTGTCACAACCTAAGACCAGAGATTTACTTTCTGACTAGGTTGGCCCAGAGAAGCCCAGACCTCAGACATTTCCAGTGTAACCCAATGCAGAGTGAGGTACTTACTGAGCTAGAGACTAAAATCAAAGCTGCACATTGACCACTTAGAGCCCTAACTTCATTTTTTTCTTTACATTCCTAGAATAGACTGTTTTGCTCACGTCTCCCAGGAATATAGAAGGTTTGTCTGTAGAGATAACCAGAAAGGACCTAGATATAAAGGGACTTCGGCTATTTACCTTCCTAATCATTAGTAAACTGTACCAAAGAGTTACACCCAGATAGACCTTTACCTCAACCTTAGTACCTCCTTTGGTTATGCAAAGACAAACAGTGACACCTTTTATAATATTCTTACATAAAAATGCCAAGATCTTTCTATTATTGCAAAGACAAAAAGAACCATAGAGAAAACAAACGCAAGGAATAAATGAAAATACCAAGACAACTATAATTAAAACCATCTAAGAGAAAATGTTTCATTCATAAAAGATTAAAACCATTAAAAACCAGGTTATTAAAAAAGAAATAGTTTCCTCATTCATGGAAAATAAAACTATTGTAGCACAGTGAGGCAAAAATAATCAATAAAAGAGCTTACAGTATGAAGTTGAAAAAGTCTCCCAAAAGAAAATAAAAATATTGGGCCAGCAAGACAGCTCAGCGGAGTAAAGCATCTGCCTTGGCAAGCTTAAGCAAGCTCAGGGACAGTGGTTTGATCACCAGCACTACACGCCATGCCAACCCCACCCCCAGGGTGGGCTGAATCAGCCACAGAGTCTGGGCTTAGTGGTGCACGTCTCTAATCCCAGTGCTGAGGAGACTGAAAACAGGAGGATCACCACTAGTATAAGCTGCATAGTAGTTATAACAATTAAATATATGCTTTAAAAAAGAAAATATTAACAATGAGAGAAGACAAAATCAAATTGCTGCACCATGTAGATCTACATCTGACTGTTACAAGTCCTAAAGACAGAAATGAAGGAAGGAGAGAGAGAAATAAGACATTTTTTAAGTTCCCCAAATTTGAAGGCAGGCCATGGGATTTCAGAGCGAAAACATTCACAGATATACAGTCTAACAGGTGAATAGAAAGAACCACATCAAAACATATAAAGGCCAGCCAAAAAGCTCAGCAGATTAAAGCACCTGCAAGCAGCCGCAGGGGCTGGGGGTTTGATCCCTGGGCCTGCCACGCTGGCCCCACTCCTGGAGCGTGCTGAGCTGGTAATAAGACTGGGCATGGTGGCACGCACCTGTAATCGCAGCTCTTGGGAGGCTGTAAACAGGCCTAGTAGTAAGACACTGAACACTCTGTAGACCCTTCTCTAAAATACAGGAAAAAATAATAATAACAAATAAGTAAAAGTGGGGAAGGAAAAAAACAGGGATTTGAAAAAATAAATGTAACAAAATTAACAGCACTTTTCAAAAAAGTTATAAGCATGATACATCTTCATGATTTAAAAGAGAAAACCTTATAAGCCATTAT